CCACCCACCAAATTTCAAATTATTTGGAGCACTATAGCTTGAGATATATCTAAATTATTGAGCAGTGCTGCTGGAGGATGTGGTGGATAGCCCTCATGCTCTTGTCTAGATAAAATCTCATTTCTACCATCCAAATTTGAGCTGGTCCTATTCATAAAAGTTGTTGGAAATTATCTTTTCTTTCCATCCACTAAATTTCAAATCATTTGGACTTCTAGAACTCCAGTTATAGGTAAAACGCTGAGTAGTGTTTGGGCTAGATTGCAAGATGATTCAGAATTCTCTTTTGTGGCCAAACTTTGAATTTGAAAATGGAAAATTAGGGTCTTTCCATACGCATAAAAGTTATAGGCCTATTTCTTATCTTTCCAACCATATAAATTAATATGAAATCCAAGATCTATAGCTTTAGATATGATCCAATAACTGAACAGTGTTCGAATTTGAAGTGAATTGACATCTCCTTCGTAAGCTTAGCCTTTTCTCTGTTCTTTCATTTCCAATAGTTAATCATAACAATCAATTCTTTGAATTGTGAGAATACATGCATTTAAAATGAGCATTAACCATAAACTAAAGGTATCTTATATTATTAGACTTGTTGTTATAAAACATGCTCTAGTTAAGGAGTTATTAATACTTCAAGTGCAAAATGATGATATAAAACCTTAATAAAAATACACTTTTAAGTACTAATCAATTGTAGTTGTTTTTGATGCAAATAACAAAGATATTCCATTTAGCTTTTCATAATTGTTAATGAATAACATAATTATAATTAGAGATGCCTTTTGCATTGCTTACAAAGACATGTTACGAGTGGTATAATTGGTAGGTGTATAATATGATATAGAGATGTAGACATCAAGAATGGAGTAGCAGAAATTTAGTGTCAGCCTGTAGAATTCCATCAGTATTGTGTCAGACATTTTGTTAACAACTTCAACCATAAATTGAAAAAACCTAGCTACCAAAACAAATTTTATGAGGATTTGTTATGAACTTTCTAGTTGCAAATTTGATTTGTGGTATGAAATAATATGTAACCTAGACCTAACATATAGAAAATAGCTTGAAAAGGAGAAAAAAAGAAAAAGAAAAAGGCTTTATCTTATGATATAGGTAACTGAGATGATAATATGATAACTAATAATTTAGAATCATTTAATCATGTTCTAAAAAATACTTTTGCAATGCCTATTTCTACTCTGGTATAATTAACAATTTATGTATGTAAATGTTATTAGGTCAAGCAGAGATGTGAAGTTAGTAATGTTATTTAAAGTGGGAATACTTTTGCAATGCCTATTTCTACTCTGCTATAATTAACAATTTATGTATGTAAACGTTATTAGGTCAAGCAGAGACGTGAAGTTAGTAATGTTATTTAAAGTGGTGTCATTTAACCTTCATTAATTGAAATTGAATTAGCAATGAATAGAGATAGATCAAGAGATCATACCGTAATATTATTTGATTATAAGAAACATGTTTCCAACTTAACATCTCTATCAAATCAAGAGTCGTGATAGAAGTCAGATGAGTAGTGATATTAAATGATAGAACATGTACATGTGGTAAATGACATATATTTCATCGTTCATGTTCACATGTTCTTGCATAGTGTGCTGAGAATTACTTTAACTTCACATAGTTTATGAATGATTATTACATGGTTCAAAGCTATAAATCATTATATGAAATGTCATTTTGTCCATTACCAGATGAGTTAGAATGGACTGATTACATTAGACCTCAAGTTGAAACAGATTCATTTAGATGAAAATTAAGACGTGATCGAGGAATGTCTACTTATTTACAAAATGAGATGGATACAAGATAAAATCATGCATATTATAGGTATGATATAAGCAATGACACATGGCATAATAGAAAAACATTTCCTAATCGACAATATATATATAACAATATAATTATATGATTTCAAACATATTACATATCAATCATAGGTACTATTACATGGAATGTAACACACTCGAGGTGGTGAATCATCTTTTCATATTGAGCATTTATATTCGGAAGATGATTAAGGAGAGCATTATTATGAGCATAGAGAGCATCAGTCTCAATTCATGCCTATCAGACCCTCCATCACTTATGTCTTGTGGTTAAAGGACATCAATCAGATGATGCATTCATCGACATTGTAAGAATATTTAATTTTAATAAATTTTTAATATATGCTTAATTTAATTATAATTAAATGGATTATACATGTATGTAATTATAACTTAAATTGTTATGCAGGATGACATCACTATTTATTGTCGTATATATAGACGAATGCAACTATATGAATGAGTCCAACCATATGTGGTCCATGCTGGTTTTTATATGTTAGTTGTCTTAACCACCTCAAGCTTGACTGTGGCTTCATCGATGTAGTGATTGAGCAATAAAGATGTGAGATAAACACATTCCATTTTAGGTGTGGAGAGATGACTCAAACACTACCGAATATGATGATTTTGCTTGGATTGCCTATTGATGGACAAACAATCACTTTTACTGGTGTTAGTAATAGAATTATGTTATGCTAGTGATTATTTGGATTATCACTCTCTTCTTCTGAATTGAAGGGGGTAGCATTTGTTTTAAGTGGATTGATGAGATATTTTTAACATTATCAGATGATGCTGATGAGGAGGTCTTGTGAAGGTGCAAAATCAATTATAATTTGAATGTGTTGATTATTTATTAATATCATGTTAATTATTATTATTATGATTTTAATATGTTTGTAGGTATGTTAGAGCATATATACTTTATCTGTTTGACAATGTATTTCACTAATCTTATATGGAGATATGTTCATTTACTTTATTTGATGCTCCTGGATAATTTTGATGCTATCTCTATATATAACTGAAGATGTGCTATATTGGCATGCTTGTATAGACATTTATATCTTGCATCCCTAAAGGTTGCCCAATAGGTAAGGGAAATGCTTGCTACTTCTACAAGTATGAATCAAAAAATTATAAAAAATTATTTAGATTTTATAATATTATTATAAACAAAATGTTTTTATTTAATAATAGTTATGGTTGTGAGAACATCTTTATATAGGCAGGTCTTAGATTACCGCATATGATAGTCCAGATTATAAGAATTACATTGTATCTCTCACTAGCATACAGGTATTGCATTTATATTGTGTAATTGTAACTTTAAAAAACATAATCAATTAGACATGTGTTTAATGCTACGTGGTGTGCTGGATGAGTTTTTAAAAAGAATCTAGTATATATCTGGCATTTTATCTGAGCTCGATAGATAGCATGCTATCCAAGTTTTTTTAAAACTACTTGTAAAAAAAATATTAACTTTACCAAATTATTGCTATAGCCATGTCACTTATATTCTATAGGTCATGTAAATGCCTTATGCAGAAGAATAATTGGTGGTTGCTCTGACTGTTTGCATTAATGGGATGGATATATAGACATCAGTGATCTCGCTATTATTTCTTGAGATGTTTGAGCTACGTTGCCTAGATCAGGTAATGCAACAGTTCAGTTAATGTGATAATTTGGTTATAGATATCATATTCCAGTCGACATCGATATGAATGATGCCTTGCACACCATTACTCGTAAGAGTAAAAATAATGATTACTATTAGTTAGGTCATCATTAAGCTTCTATATCACAATGAAATGCATAGAGGAATGAGATATTTACAGAGATGCATCCTATGATTACTTATGAGGAACATATGATTTGATACATAAGTATCACATGTCGGATTACTACTCCAGATCTTGAGCAGATTCCTCCACATGGATATATGTATTACGAGTAATATGTGCAGCAAATTCAACATCACGTAAGTAATCAAGACTTTTTATAATTAATATAAGTCAATAGTTGAGTTTTATATATTTATTTTTTAATTTAATATTAATATTAGGTTGGTTTTTTGTTATGGGAAGGTTGAAAGGCCATATTTGTGTTTTATAATATTGATAAAGCAAGCGAAAGTTACACATATGTGTTTTGTTGTTTTTTTAAATAGGATAAAATTTTAGGTATAATTCCTGCATAAAAAACTCTTGATCAAATTTTGTTAAAATTATAATATTTTTAACTCTCTAAAATCATAAAATAAATTAAAATTTAGGTAAAATAGGAACTATGATTCTATAAACTTTGGTTATTGTCCAATTGTTTTTTTAAATGTCTATGAAAATAATCCACCAAGTGATATCATGGTTATAAATCACGATAACTTTATACCGTATTATTTTATATGCTTATTGCCAAATTCACCCATTTAAGAATCCTTTAGTTTTGATATTTTATTGTAAATGTCCTTGAAGTTTCAATATTGCTAATCAAATTAGCTGAAATTAATGCATTCTCGTGATCCCTACAGGATCCATCCCTGCTTTTGGCTGCTTCCTCCCTCATGATGCTTCGTGTTGCTTAGTTTTCCAGGTGTAAAGTGATGTCTTCTTGCTGTTGACAACTCAAAAGCATCACGGATACTTGCATTGAATATTTCACTTTAACTTGTACTAATATTTTTAATGGAAAATACATATTTTGATTAAAAAAATAAAAATACATGAATAAAGTGAGAGCGTTTTGACTGAAGAAATACATGTTTTTCTCCTTAATTGAAATTATTAAAATTCTTATAAATATTTATTTTAGTTGTCCTAAGTTCTTATTGAAAAAATAAAGTTCCCAGGAAGATAAACATATTTTAATTTGTTAAAATAAGAAGTAAAATACATGAATAAAAAATAAGAATTTTAAATAAAATAATAAATATTTTTTCTCTTAAAAACTAAAACCATGCACACATGTTTATTTTAATTATCATAAAATTGAATAAATATAAGTATTGAGAATGGGTACACGGCTGGTTATTAAAATTAATTATGTTCTCCTGGGAAGAGAATAAGCCACGACGTGTCATGGGAAGGAATATTAGCATTGAATAGAATTTGTCCTCTCCTCTCTGTTCCTACTCCTTTTATCCTTTTTGCTTCTTCTCCCATTCACTCAAAGATCTCTTATGATACATACCATCCATCCCTACGTACAGTTATCCTCTCATACAACAAAAGTTGAAGGGCATCTTCGTCTAGCAGGTGCTCAATGTCTTCCCAACTAGGCACAAGAAACTCTGTAACATGGAAACCTCTGATATAAATGAAAGAGCCACCTACCTACAATATTAAGTAGCCCTTCTCAAAATTGCTTCGCTGCTCATCCACCAAAATGAAGGCGGCCTCTTTTCCAGAATCAGTTCTTTCCTCAGGATTAAAAACATCCCAATTCGCTGCCGAATGCTGGTTCGACGACGCATGCATCCTTGATATGGACTACTTTGCTAAGACCCTAGCCGGCATCAAGGCTAAGGGTGTCCGTCCAGACTTCATCGGTTCAATCATAGCTCATTATGCATCAAAGTGGCTACCAGACCTCTCTGGTGATCACCTTTCTAGTAACAAGGGGCTTGCGAACTATGAAGAATCCCCGGAGAGTGTCACAGCTTTGTGGATGAAAAAGAGATTTTTCGTCGAAACCCTGGTGGGAATCCTGCCTCCGGAGAAGGATTCCATCCCATGTAGCTTCCTCCTACGCCTTCTCCGGATCGCAAACATGGTCAGTGTGGAGCCTGCATATAGAGCTGAGCTTGAAAAGAGGATTTCATGGCAACTTGACCAAGCTTCACTGAAAGAGCTACTGATACCGTCGTTTAGTCACACTTGCGGGACATTGCTAGATGTCGAGCTAATAATTCGTCTAGTGGGGAGGTTTGTTAGTTTAGATGAGGTTGCTAAAAGTGGTGCTGCCTTAATTAAGGTAGCTAAGCTTGTTGATTCTTACTTAGCAGAAGCTGCTGTGGATTCTAATTTGAGTTTATCCGAGTTTGTTGCTCTTGCTGGTGCTCTCCCAAGTCATGCCCGAGCCACAGATGATGGTCTATACCGTGCCGTTGATACTTATCTCAAAGTAAGTAGTCAAAAGTAGTAATTAATATTGAGTGAAATTCTCATTTTTTTCTCCGATTAACGCAAATGTTTCACTAATTCCAATTGGTAAACGGATAATCTCAGCTGGTAAGCGGGCTGAGGTCTTGGGTAGAGTTTGGTGGTTCATGCTGCTGAGGGGCGCCGTAGCCAGGATTAAATTTTAGGGTGCGAAGACTAGTATAATTTCTTTTTAGGGTGGTCAAAACATAAATTTTACGAGTTTTGTCCCTAAAACTTAAGATTTTTTTGTTTTTTTTTTAAATTTTATTTTATAGGACACACAATATTAACGAGGTTTTTGTTTTATGTTTTTTTCAAGAGCCCGGCCCCTGCTAACCTCTCCTGTATCCGCCCAGTACTTCTACAATTTACTTAATAACAAAAAAAATCTTCGCAATATGAATTTTAAGGTCAAGGTATTTAGAATGATTAATTGTGATATGAATGAACATTGGAAGCATTAATTCAAATGTTAAAATGTTTAGTTTATTACATGCAAACGAGTGTAACAAAGTAGTAAATAGAGAAATGCTTGAAAATTGTTAACTTAAATCAGAACAATTAGAAAACTAAAAGTTCATATGAGTACCGATCGATCTGGTGGCCTTATATGTGGCTGCTTCTGTGTGGGGCTTCATCAGAATAATTAGGTGGTGGGGTGGGGTGGCTGCAGGGTAGGAGCCACTAGACATTATCACTTCCCTTCACAGAGTAGTCTAGATTTTACCTGATACTGGCCTTTCTCCGATGTGGTCTGCAGCACGTGAAAAGGTAGTGTCAGTGTTCAATTATGCTGGATTTTGTTTTGTATTGGCAATTTGGCACCTTTCTTTAAGCACCACGAGATCAATATGAACAGCAGCAATCATATACAGTAACCCACGATTCACTGTTATAAATGATTAATTAATTATCGCATACACAGAAGCATTTTAGTCTAGACCAGTGACCTTAGCATAGTTTTTCCTTGGATCTTCAATGTTCTGAGGCTCATGAAATATTGCTTTAGTACTTTTGAAGACGATAAATTAATATTGCTCTCTTCTGATCAGGCACACCCTGGACTGTCAAAGCAAGAAAGAAAAGCTCTTTTTAGGTTGATTGATAGCCGAAAGCTCTCTCAGGAGGCATCACTCCATGCTGCCCAAAACGAAAGATTGCCTGTTCGTGCTGTGATCCAAGTCCTCTACTCTGAGCAAACCAAGCTCAATCGACAAATAGATTGGAGTGGGTCGTTTAGTGGAGCTAGAAGCCCCAGCTTAGGGTTTGAGGCTCCGGCAAGGTTGCTTTCGAAACGTGGAACGAGTGATCAACAAATGGAGATAAGGAAACTAAGAGAAGATGTGCTGAGGCTAGAAAGCCAATGCTATGTGATGCAAATGCAGATGGAAAGGATGTTGGAGAAAAAGAAAGGGTTTTTTAGGTGGAAGAAGTTAGGGATTATGCCTTCATTGAGAAGTAGTAATAATGTTAGTATTGTTGAGAAGATTGAAGGGAAAAATGCAGGAGAAGGAGATGTAGGGAGTGGAATACAAACTCCTGTGGACTTGAAGACTAAGCTGGTGAGAGGCAAAGGTAAAACTTCCCCCAGGCGGAGAAAATCAATGTTCAGCGATGCTGCGTATTAGTTTGACTATGACCACAGCTACTTGGTTTTATGCTGGGCTGCGTCTAGCACTCATAGATTTAGGATTTTGCTGGTAATATCAAGCCTTAATTTACAAGCATTGCTATTTTTAATGGTTAAGGTTTTGTCCACCGGAAAATTAGAAATAATTAAAATTGAATCACCAATGTCCTGCCTGTACATAGCACCTGCATCTCAATTTCTTTACATTTATGGCTGCATTGGAACCTCAAGCCTTAAGAGATAGGTATGCCTTGATTTTTTTTAATTTAAACTTTGAAATCAATATATATATAATTAAAATCATCCAATGTATGTCCTTAAACATGTTTATATAATCATGATAACCCTATTTTAAAAGAAAATCTCGATACCTATATTCTATAATTCAAGATGTTCTAGCAAAGAGATGACTAAAATACTTCCTACACTACTAGTGTAGTTTTTCTTCTTCTTTTTTTTTTTAAAAAATGAAATGAAGTTATCATAAAGTTTCTCTCGATACCTATATTCTATAATTCAAGATGTTCTAGCAAAGAGATGACTAAAATACTTCCTACGCTACTAGTGTGGTTTTTCTTCTTCTTCTTTTTTTTTTTTTTTAAAAATGAAATGAAGTTATCATAAAGTTTATGCCTGTGAAAGTTATTGGTAATAAAATATCTCGACGCTTCTAAAAAAAAAATATTTTTATACAAAAATTTGTAGTTAGCTTCGATTAAAGAAATCTTTAGAGGTTTAAATTGTTAAATGAGTTTATTCTTCATTTTTTATATAGAATTCGAATATAAAGAGCAACTACATATTTTATTACAAACATACTAGTTAAAGCATGGATGTCATACTTGATTATTTTAAAGTCAAATGAAAAGGAGATTTGGTCTCATTAAAGCCCAAAACAAAAAGATTTAGAAATTAATTAAGAAAAAAAAACTCTAAATTGTGATGGGAGCACAAGTATCCAGTAAGGGAGATAAATAATAAAATTACAAGGAATTGTAATGAAAATTGCTATCTCGTAGACAACCCCAAATAATGAAATTGGAACAACAAATATATGGTCAGTGATGTTCTCAAATTCAAGGTTCATAGAAATAAATATTGTATTATGATCTTTTTCTTTAGCCAAGATAAGTGGTAATTTGATGCAAAAGGTCAGGATGTGTGATAACTTGACATGAAAAGACAAATACTAACTCTAAGGGGTGTAGCTCAACTAATTAGGTTCTGGGTTTGCTTCTAGAAGTCACTAGTCTGAGTCTCATAAACTTCAGAATTACTGGAGACTTACATGATTGTTAACTTCAGGATAGAAGTCACTAGTCTGAGTCTCATAAACTTTAGAATTACTGGAGACTTATATGATTGTTAACTTCAGGACCCATAAAATTAGTCGAGGTGCTAGCAAATTTGTCTAGACACCCACGTTAATAAAAAAAAAAGTCAAGTACTAGTAAACAATCCATTTTGATAGATATAGGGAATCTTGAATGCTTAAATAAGTGTTTTTGTAAAGAAAAAATACAATGATATTTTAGAGAAAAATGCTATAATATATATATATATATATATATATATATATAAAGAATCATTTGCCTTTGTGATTCATAAATTATTTATAGCCTATGAATCTTGTCCTTCTATTTGAGTGAAGAGGCTAAATAATAATTGATTTTTCTAATAATATTAATGAGAGACAAATAACACTTACATATGAATTAATGAGGGATAAAATATCTCTTATACAAATAGTAATAAGATGGAGATGTGGTAGGTCATGTATTGGTTCGATATGAAAATCCAAAGGAACTTATGTGGGGCCTTAAAAAACTAGACTTAGAAAATTAGGCTTAAACACATGTCTTGAGTTTGCTAAAGGCCAAAAATAGTCCCAGACATGCTGTTTGGAAGCACGAACGTTGGCCATAAGTATAGAGCTTGACCTAAGAGGCGTGAGGCTAGCACCTAGTGTTAGGGGAACTGGGTTGCACACTTATCACCCCATCTGGGCATGTGTCAAGTGTCTAGGGTGCTGAACAACACACCCAATACCCGGGGCACTAAGCTTCATGCCCAACAAGATTTTTATTGGGCATGGGTTTGTTTCCTTTTAGGTTAGGTGTTGCCTAGCCCCATCCCGTGGTCTTAGCATGGGGGCTGAGCCCATGGGTGGTTAAGCCCAAGCATGTTGCTTAAGCTTGTGTTTTTTGGGCCTTCAAGGGTTTTGTACCTATTAGATTTAGGCTTAAGCTTAACAATTGTTTTTAGAAATAATTGATAAATGTTAATTCATCAGTAGCTTTCCAAGTCTTTATGATATAAATACATAAAGAATTATATAAAAGATGCTCGATTATCATGATGTGTTTGTTGATTTTTCGTAGCATGAGAATCAATATGAAACCCTTTGGAAAATTTACTGTAGAAATCGTATGTAAGAGCATGCACCATGATTGAAAAATAATTTTATAATATGAGAATTGACACGACCAAACGATTGATGTCTTCTCCTAAGTATATCAGTGTTGAAGTAATAAATAACCCGACAAGACCGGGGTCAAACCATATGAAGGTTAACTATATAAATAATAATAATAATGATGATGATGATGATGATGATGATGATGAGTTGAAGAGGACTTTGAGATTTAAAATTAATGTGAAGATTAAACAATAATAAAAATAGTTGTCAAGATTAGAGGATCAACTAATAGTATTTTAAATAAGTATAATATAAACTCTTTTTGTTACTCAACTGGAAACAACATAAAAAGATGGTTCTAATTAGATAATTTTTTATTAATAACTCATTATAAATTATTAACATGATCATATTAATTATCTTATTTAAGTAACACTAATACTTTTAAATATTGTCAGGAATTCATGATGCTAACTTATGTTAACAACAAATCAAGTTCCTTTCATAACACAAATGTAGGTTATACCATATCGTTGGCTATAAAGGATTAAGCATTTATTGTACCAAGTGTTATACAACACAAATCTAAATTAATTATACAACAAGTAAGGTATTAAAAATTAATAAGAAAAAAATAAGAAGACATGTTAATAACAAACTTTCTTGGATGTAAGCATTGAAGTCCATATTGAGTTTATATTATACATATCTTAACACCATTAGTGAAACCTTTTCACCTTAACATATTAAACTTAGTTAAACATTATGAAGAAGAGAGACATAAACAAATAAGATGAGAACATAATTATATAAGTATAGTAAAGGAAATGAAAGGTATACACAAAATATTAATAAAACTACAACATGAAATAAAACTAGAACAGTAAAACTACAAATAAAGAAAGCAAGTAAGGAAATGATTTTAATCTGAAAACCAAGATGCCTAAATGCATGAAAGATACCTCCTTTTATAGGCCAAAATTTGGAACTATTGATTTGTTGACTAATTGTTGAGTAGGTGGTCACATCTTGACTTGGTGACAATCTTTATATTCTTATCTAAACAAAATGTCATTGCTAACATCAGAATTTGAATAGATTGTCTTCATGAAAGTTCTAGAAATTATCTCAGTTTTTTAACAAAAAAATTGGTGTATTTGAACTTCTAGAACTCGAGATATGGGATGAACACTGAACAATATCTGGGTTGCAGGTTAGATTCGAACTTCTCAGTTGTTGCTACAATTTGAACTTGAAAACGACTTTTTTGATTATTAGACTTCACATAAAAGTTTTAGGCCTATGTCTTAGCTTTCCATCCATATAGAGCAAACCTAAATCCAACTTCTGCAGTTCTAGTTATGATTCAATAACTAAATAGTGTTTGCAGTTCTAGTTATGATTCAATAACTAAATGGTGTTTCAGTTTAGATTGAACCAGCATCTCTTTTCTAAGCTTAGCTCTCTATTTTTCTTTTCAATTTTAGTAGTTAAACTCATCAATCAATCCCATGACTTATATGATAGGCCTGCATTTAAGATGAACATTTACTATAAATTAAAAGTATCTTATATTATTAGATATGTTATTATAAATTATGCTATAGCTAAGGAGTTATTGATACTAAAAGTGCAAAAAGACGATATAAAACCTTTATAAAAATACACTTTTAAATACTAATCAAGATACTTAGGGAGAAGTTTATACTTAGAAAAAATTTTAAGTTTGGAAAGGGTAAATATGAAGAAAAATATAATTAGAAAATCTTCTACTACGCTAAAGGAACTCACGAAGGAACCCATACATATAAAAAAAATTCTAAAAGGTTAAGGGTAACCTATACTTAGAAAAATTTCTAAGAGGTTAAGGGAAACCTATAAAGAAACTTATACTTATACAAAAATTTAAGAGGTTAAGGGGAACCCATAAAGGAACATATACTTAGAAAAATTTCTAAGAGGCAAAAAGAAACCTATAAAGGGTTATTCCCTGTGATAACATGAGGCCTAAAAGCCTTGTACCAATCTAAGATCATATTACGAGAGATAACGTGAGGCTCGGAAGCTCTATAGGATAGTTGTACTAGTCTAAGACTACACTAGAGAGCAAGAGATTTAAGATCAATTCCTAGAGATAGTGTGAGGCTGGTGAACCCCACTAAAGTGTTGTGAGATTTAAGATCAATTCTTAGAGTAGCGTGAGGCTTGGGAACCCCACTAAAGTGTTGTGTTAATCCATAATTCCACTAGAGAGTAGAAGATCTGAGATCAATCCCTAGATATGGTATAAGGCCGGAAGCCTCACTAGAAAGTCATGTCAATCTAAGACTGCACTAGAGAACGATAAATAAAAAGTGTATGTTAGACGTATAATATTTTTATTTCAAAAATAAACTTATATTCATATTAAGGATAATACATCTTAAGTTGATTTTATTATTATTATAGTTATTGTTGTTATTGCTATTATTGTTGTTTATAATTTGTACAATTAACCTCCTTGTGGTTCGACCCCGGTCTTGCCGGGTTATTTATTACTTCGACACTCCTGCACTTGGGAGAAGACATCAACTTTTTAGTCGTGTCATACATCTTAAGTTGATTTAAGTGCCAATTATGAGGGAAATTTTTCCCTTTCATATCTTGGGAGGTAGTAGTTATTTACCTTGATAACTTTGAATGAGTCATCCTATTTTGATTCAAATATATAGTAAACCTTTATGATACACCCATTAGCTAGTCCCTCATAGTTTTTCCTTAAGATTTTTTCTTTACTAATAGAATGATTTTGCTTGGAAAGTTTTTCATGTTGATTATCTTTGTAAAAATAAGAAAGCCCATGCCATAACACACTTATCTCTTTCACCTGTATATAATTTTTCATATCTTGCTTTACTTTGAGCAAGATTCTGCCTATTAATACATAAAGCTTTCTCCATAGAGCATGCTCTTTTATCCTATTTATCAAGGCCACTGAGGCTACTATCTCAAGCATATCTTCCACTTGGGGCATCTCCTTATTAAACCTTATCAAGTGTGCCAATATGGATCCGCCTTCTAGTAAGGCAACACTAAATAGCTTTGTGGTGATTTTTATGCGAGTATATTGTTGTTGAAATGCATCACTAGTTTGGCGTTGAAGTCATTAAATTCTTTCGTAGAGTTTGACTTAAAATTATTATACTAAACATGCACATACCTTTTGGGAGCCATGGGGAGGATTTTACATATTACACTATTTTTATGGATGACTAGTTCAAAGCTACCACACAGATTTTTCACATACTCATTTGGGCTAGCAAGACTATCATAGTTTTCGAGGCTTATTTTTGTAGAAATATAGTTCATAGGGATTTAAGAATTCAAAACTCATTTGGATAAAAGAGAGCACCATACTTGATAAGGGCTATAAGCATTCTCTTAGGATGTTTAAATAGTAACCATCTCTCAATCTTCTGTTTACTAGGCTTAATAAATCCCATAGAGTATAGTGTGGAATAATGGGATCGGTAACTGATGTTTATCATGCGGTTGTCAGGTGGATGTGTTAGAGTTTTAAATTTGCATAAGGTATTGCGATGGTGTAAGCAACCTCTAAAAGAACTTGGTGGGTGTCGAGGAAAAATACTTTCCTAGATATCATTCTACCTAGACTCCTCAAGGTAATGCAATTGGCTACAAACACTTAAAGCGGCCATTGACAGTATTGCAGGGGTGTTGTGTGTTGCTGAAGGTGACAAGACTTGTTGGGGAGTCAAGACCTCATTTTTTCCGTTGAGTTTTTAGCACTGTCTGAGTAAGGACTTGAACTTGATTAATGAGTTATTAAAAGTATGATTGGGCCCGTGATAACAATAATAAGTAGATCTGTCAAACGTTTTAACCTAGGTGTCTTGGATATATTCATTGGAATGACCTGAGAATGTCAAAAACAAGTTTTAGAAATAAACTAATAGAATTTTTTTAATCATTTTTCACAGATGTTACCAATTGATAATGTTCCAAAATACAAGGTATATTAGGAATAAGGTTTATGCGGTTGGATAATAGATTAATCACTTAATTCTTGTAATTTGATATATTCTCTTTAGCCAAGTTGAGTGGTAGTTTGATGTGGGAAGCCAAGTACCTGTAAAAGGTTCTTTTTGGTAAATGTGAGGACTTTTAAATACTTAGATATCTTTATATAAAAGAGAGTACAATAATATCATAGAGAGAGATTTTCGTTAGAGATATAGAGTAGTTAAGCCATTTCATAAATTGGCATGTATATTGTAGGGATGAAGCTTTAAGAAATTTAAATATACAATTAAATTGCAATTAGATTCTGTATAGGCAACCTCAATGTCATGTAGGATGGCTGCTTATAATTGGGCTATGGTACATTACTAACACCTGTACAACTACAATGTATACATGTAAAGAAAATATCTATGTAAGGTTTTGTAAACCAATAGTTATCAACCACAACAATTGCATATGGCGTTGGAGTATTATATATTAGAAAGTTTTACAACAGAGAAGAAGAGAATAAGGAAATAGCTATTATAAGTTATACAAGGAATTATACACTATAATTAGAATTAATCGATTCCTAAACAGACGCTGCACAATTAGCTGTAAAGCAATCAACTTTAATGGCATTATTTTCTCCTTAATGCTTGGATGGATTCTCTTCTGGATTGTCTGTAGGAGATGAGTTTGTGTCAGCGCCAATACTCCCCCTCAAGTTAAGCGTGGTTGGGAACACGCAAAGCTTGGACCTAAAGACCTAAAGAGCATAAACAGAGATTTTCATGGACTTTTAGTGAAGATGTTTGCAATTTGCAAGTTGGACGACACATGTTGAATCTTTAAGACACCATTACATACTAACTCACGGGCAAAGTGAATATCAATATTAATATGCAGAGATCATTTTTGAGCTACAGGATTGCGGGCCATAAAAATGGCACTGACATTGTCACAAAATAGAGTTGGCCTGTCTAATGGCTGAAGGTGTAAGTTTTGAAGAATGTCTAATAACCATTTGACCTTAGCTGTAGTGAGAGCTAAAGCTCTATATTCAGATTTTGCAGAAGAACGAGAAACAATAGATTGCTTTTTAGAGGTCTAGAAAACTAGATTGTCACCTAAAAAGATGGCATATCCAGATGTTGATCAACTTGTACCAGGACAGCCAGCCCAGTCAGCATCTGAGAAAGCTAAGATGTTGAAAGTACTGGATGGAGTAATGTTGAGACCGAAGTGCAGAGTTCCTTTAATATATTGGAGGATGCTTTTAACAGCCTAGAAACGATGCTCACTTGGGGCATGCATGAATTGACTTACTGAGTTCATTGTATGTATAATATCTGGCCTGGTAATGGTTAGATATTAAAGTGCACCAACTAAGGATCGATAGGTAGTGAGGGAATGAAATGGATTGCCATCAGTAGTTAAATGTTAGGAAACAATCATAGGAGTGCCAACTAGTTTTGAATCAAGGAGGTCAGCTCGAAGTAGACGATCTCTTGTATATTTTAGCTGACTCAAAAATATGCTAGTGGCATGTCTAAACCTAAGAACTAATTTAAAGTGCCAAGATCTTTCATGAAGAGCTCATGACATAACTTACGAATAAAAGTATCAATAAGGGACATATTGCTGCCTATGATGATAATATCATCAACATATAATAGTAAATAAATAATCTCATGAGTTAATGAATAGACACAAAAGCTGGAATCAGCTTAACTGCTATTAAAGCCAACAATGAGTAAGAAATGGCTAAATCAATGGAACCATGTTGCCATAGATTGCCCTTTTAACACGATAAACATGATTTGGATAAGAGGAATCAGCATAGCTCGGTGGTTGTTCCATATAAACTTGTTCTTGTAAAAGACCATGCAAGAAAGCATTTTTCATGTTAAGCTAATGCATGTTCCAACCACAAGATACTGCAATAGAGAGAACAATGTGAACTATTGATGCTCGAATAATTGGACTAAAAATTGTCATTAAAATCAAGACCATAAAGTTGAGTATAGCCTTTTGCAACAAAGCGTGTTTTGAGCTTATCAATGGAATCATCCAAATGATATTTGGTGTGGAAAACCCATTTGGATCCAACCATATTTATAGCAAGTGGTCGTGGAACTAGTTCCCATGTTTGATTGAGCTTGAGAACATGAATTTCTTCTTCTATGGCAGCAAGCTATTCTAGAGACTTGGCAGTACTCTTAAAACCCTATGGTTCCTTCATAACTAAAAGAGAGGATAATAAAGGAGATGATGCAACCTGACAGACATAACTATAATGTTTAGATTTGGAGATGCCTGCTTTGCCATGAATGATCATGTAATGAGAATTTTGATGTGAAGCAAATGCTATTGGGATTGTTGGAAGTTACTCTTCTTGAGGAGTAGGAATAAGTGGCATTAAAATTGATGAGCTTGGAGATGGAAGCAAATCCAAAGCATATGATTTACATGGCATGGACAAGGTTACTGATAATGGAGATGAATGTCTTGTATAAGAGTTAGTACTAGACACAACGGGATGCGATGAGGTGGGATCATGAAAGGCAATAAAATCTGAGATGGCATATGAGGGTTGCATACTAAAAGAAGAAAAAGGAAATATATTCTCATCAAAACGAGCATGTCTAGTGACAAAAATTGAATGAGAAACAGGATCAAGACATCCAAAGCCTTTATAGAAAGTGTGGTAATCGAGAAAAATACAAGGAACACTTCTTGGTTCAAACTTATACTTGGTATAATCATGCAAGTTTGGAAAATATAAGCATCCAAAGATTTGAAAGGTAGTATAGAGAGGAGACTTACCATACAGAATTTCAAAAGGAGATGTCTCATTCAAGACTGTTGTTGGAAAGCGGTTAATGGTGAAGACTGCAATACTGAAGGCTTCAACCCAGAAGTGAAGAGGAACAATGGAATGAAACAATATTGTGAGACTTGTTTCGGTGATATGCCTGTGTTTTCTCTATGCTCTACCATTCTAAGATGATGTATAGGGACAATAGAATTGGTGATGAATTCCACATTTAGTGAAATGAGGCTGCAAATTGTTACTGATGAATTCCCCTCCCCCATCACTTTGGAAAATCTTTATTTTCATAAAGAATTGATTTTCAACCAAAGATTGGAAGTTAAGGAATGTTTAATAAAATCAATTTTGTATTTTAATGGATAAAACCAAGTAAAACGTGAGTGATCATCAATGAAGATAACGTAATATTGATATCCTGAGATGGAAGTTATAAGTGCTGGACCCTATAGATCACAATGTATAAGACCAAGGATTTTGTTGGAGCAACTGCCACTTATTTTAAATGGCAATTTATGGCTTTTAGCCTTTTGACAACTAATACACAGAGATGGATTCAACAATATAGAAGAGAGGGATAGGGAACCTTGTTTATTAAGAATAGAAATTATTGTGGAGGAGACATGTCCTAAATATACCTTTAAAATTACAAAGGAATTACAAAGGAATTACAAAGACTAGATTTGGTAATGACAGTATAGAAGGTTTGGTGTCCACGCTTCAATATATAAAGACCATTAACATGCTTACCACTTGCCACCACCTTTTGAGTTTGAAGATTTTACATGATGAAATCATTGTCAGTAAAAAAGATAGATAAATGATAGTCATGGTTAAGTTTACTAATAAAAAACAAATTTTTAGTCAAAGCTGGTGATTAGTACTTAAAAGTGCATTTTTTATCAAAGTTTTCTATCATCATTTTGCACTTGAAGTATTAATAACGCCTTAACTAAAGCATGTTTTATAATAATGTATCTAATAATATAAGATACCTTTAATTTATGGTAAATGTTCATTTTAAA